TTTCGGTAGGCAATCTTATAGGAAATGTCGAAAGGCAAGAATGGTGAGAGGAACGTAGAAAAAGGGGTGACGACTGTACAGTAAATTCATAGTCTGACTTTACTTAAAGCAAATAGTAAGCAAATCCGTTTTGCTACAACGAATAAAAGATATGGATGATTTTCCACTTGCAAAAATTAGGTCCTTTTGGAAGCTGCTTTCCACTTTCCAAACACCAACCACTGCACCAATTTTTTGCCAATATTGCCACCTGAAATCCGGGAGTAGAATTCGTTTTCGCTCCTGAGGAACAACGCAGGTTTTAGTCAGGACTGCGCAATGCTGCCTCTTGTCGCATTACGGCCGAATGAATAAGTGACATGAAAACTCTTCAGGGATGTACGACAGGAGCACTGACAATCTAACTTTTCTGTACAGCGTGACAATAAGCGCAAGGGCAGGAGCATAGTTTTCGAACCTGAATATGCCTGCATCAATTTGTGAAAGGACCTGCAGAACCTGAAACACTGTCATCCTTTAGAAGCCATAGCTGTGGTGGTGCGTGATGAAATTGCACTGGCGGAAGGGACCGCTGGGAAGCCTAACACGCAGGTAGGTTTAAAGCTGCTAATGCATGCTAAAGTCTCCCCATAGCAGTTCCAAAATGACTCGATTTAGGTGATAACTTTCACTGGAAACTTCAGGCAAACAGCCAATTCACAAATCCTTATTTGTTGCCCATTCACCATCCACAATAAAATGCAACCGGAGCAAGGTCAGAAACTAACTATTAGCTCAGCCCTTTTTATTCAAACCCTGGGATGCCATAAATTTCATAATCTGAATGCTACTTTATTCAATGATGTTGAAAGAATCCCCCACAAAACATGATTTGCTGTTGGCAAGGGAGAAAATATCTCCAGGATTGGAGCAACAGACCGATGCACCTAAATAGACAACTCTTGATAATGCTTCAATATTTCATCCAGAAAATCTGTGTAATGCTTCAACGTGCCTAACTCCGGTCACAAGTGGCATTTACGATTGTTGCTCTGCGTTTCTGAGAGAAGGCTGTTCTCAGCCCCGTACATCTGGTAATGCACAAATTTATCAGGAATTCAGATCGTCACGTGAAGGCGAGTTCAGCAATGCTTTTCAAATGTTCGAGAGATTGTTGGTTCTCCCGAACAAAGTATTAATGAACGCCATATTAGTGTTGCTGATTTTGATTCAAGTTGTCATCTTGCTTTAGGTCATTGTCAGGAAATAAACTAGAGTAAACTAGGAGGAAATTTAGCAAAGTTTTTCGTCCAACTAGTTATGAAGACAAATTACTGGAAGATTTTAGGGCGATTCGAAGTTAAAAAAAATGCGCACGTACGACATTTTAACACAAGACGGTGTAAACAAATGCTGTTAAGACCACTGTCAATGAATTTGCAGCGTTGAGCCTCGCAAGTAGATAGTAGGAGCGGAGGGAGGGCCGTCAGGTGCACCTGTGTGGTGGAGGTGGTTTCCGCTGTCTCCAATTTGGGCGCTGGGTGTGGGTGCCGCCATCGAGTCACCAGCCCTTCGCGCGCTGCTCTCCTGCGCCGTTGGTGCGCGCTTGGCACGCAACCTCACCCTGCGCTCTCATTGGTCAGAGCAGATGTTGCACAATGCGATGCAAATTTCAGCAAAACTGGGCGATTTGTTACGCACGTCGCACATTTTCGCTGTACAAGGGGATGTACAAGATGAATCTATACAAGGTAATGCAATTATGTACAACTTCTCAAGCTCACTTTTATGCTCCATTTCCTCTTCATACGTACATCTGCGATACTGACACAAAAGAATTAACAATTGTGTTTAGTTTCATTCGAAAAAGTTAGGGCTTTTAATGTTTAGTCCGGTCATTAATGTCCCCTTCATGTGTGTTTGATATTCTATGCAAAGGTAAATAAGATAAGCCTTTTGCCTAGAAATTTCGAGCCATTATTTTGTAAAACAACATAGCATAGTCACGATTTTGAACTCGATGAAGTACAGCAGGGGGTTTGAAGTTAGCAGCTGCGAGCCTGGCATGTAGGGCTAGAGTATCTATAACCTACGTGTACATCTACTACGAATTTAAAGTCTACGTAGATTGATTCTTTTGACACCAGCAAATGTTGGGATATAGAAATAACTATTTACGTATCCTTGCCGATATCTGTCCACTGCCTTATTAAGTGGTGTTTCAGTAAAAAAGCATAAAATAAAGAAGAAGGGAAAGGAAGTTTGAGAAATTTTACCTTAGATCGAGGCACATCGATGATAGGAGATGCCATTTTAGAAAATTAAGATGGTCGAACAAATGCACGTAGCAAGGACTGCAGAGGTATGCAACAATCGCCATACCTTTGTTGCCCTACTTTGATCCAATGCAATACGCTCTTTTTTCACAGAGGTATGGTGCATAACACCAATGAGCACCTGCCTTCAAACTTTTAGTTCTTCGCTCACATGACGTCAACGCACTAGCAACATTGCAAGACCAATTTCTGCCGCCAGACTCAGAGCTAGTGTTGGAATTCAAAAATAATATTTGTAGAAACTTGACACAAATATTTCCAACATTGTTTGTCTACTTCGAGCCAATAAAAAGGCTCCGAAGCAGACGCGGTTGCAATGTTTCACAGCTCCACATTTGCAGATCTAGGATCATGGTTAACAATGAAGTGAGTATAAGTTTTTGCCCTCATTCACAGCATTTGAAATGCATTGCTCTCTTCATTCTACTGAGTTACAGCATAGTAGAACGGTTGACGAATCAAAGATAGTTGCTTCACTAATCATTCTATTTAGCCTTTACCGCGATTGGAGTTGGTCATATCTGAAACGGAGTCGGAAATGTCGGGGTCTTTCACGAGTTATTCCACACCCTCGGCAACTTCACCTCAGCCGACTCATTGCGCCTGCGAGCGTAACTTGAAGGTATACAATGAGTCTTCACGACGTCAGGAAGAGCAGATAAAGTTAGCAATTACAAACTTTCCGTCAAAGAATCATCAGAATTATGAAGAACGCGAAATTCGACGGAAGGAGCGCAATAATGCAGCCTCCAGAAAGTCGCGCGCGCTTCGCAAGCGCCGCTTTCAACAGATGCTGCTAGAGACCGAACGTCTAACCAACTCCAACGCCAAGCTCCGAGCTCTTGTTGAGGAACTAAACTCAATCATGGCCGAGTCCAAAGCTATTCTCTTTAAGAAATTTACAAGTCCAATCACTAGCAACTCAACCATGGCAGCACAACAGCCAACGGCTAATCTCATGGAATAGCATTTGCAATCATTCTTGTAATGCTCAAACCACGTCTTTGCTGTTGCCTTAAATTATCAACTAGACTGACTATTCACACAAACATTTCTTTGAGGTACTAATAAAATTAATAAAAAATAAAAAGCAATTCCTGTATAGAAATTGCTAACAAAATGAATCGCTTATTTCCAAGAACGGTGTATTTGTCAAAACCTGGTATGTCTTTAGTTTGTGAGCGCTTAAGTTTGTGAATGAGGAAGAGGAATGCAAACATGAAGAAATTAATAAAGGCATTATTTTGTTATGAGTTGCCCGGGGAACAAGGAGAAGAAATGTGCTGGATCTCCAGAAGCATGGTTTTTGTACTGGAAACATGAAGATCGGTTAAGGCGAAAGTTTCCTATAAAGTTTTCCTTCAAAGATTTGTGCAATCGAATCAAAAAGTTTAGACAAAGGGATTTAAGCCTCAAAAAACTGCTAATAAGTCCGCCGACTTTTGTAGAACGTGCACTGATTTGGGAATCCTATTTTAGAAACATTCCTCTTGTCCATAAAATCTACTTTTTTTAAACGCTCCTTTATTTTGTAATCAGGTTATGTGTTGGTAAGTGTTACTGTGGTAATGAGATGGAAGAGTGAATGACATTCAAAACAGGCATTAGGCATGGGCTGCGAAGGTGAAACGCTGTGCTCCGGGGCACAACTTTCAACTTTTCCATCATTGCACAGCATCAAGTGATCACTGCCTACGCACAAATCCGTAGGGTGGCAACGTTCTTAGCCTTGACAAAACTTACATTCGAAGATTCATGTAGCGGAAAATGACTGGCACAGAATTGATAACTATGAGGTGCTATTTATTGCTCGTTCGCAAAGTATCATACCGGTAA